AGGTGCTGTTATAAATTCTTACTAAACATTGCGAATAATATCAAAAAGAAAATCATACACATAAAAAATAATATAGGGGCGATTTTTTTGTTTGTAATGCGGAATGCAGACTTATTTCGTCTAATTTTAAAAGTATGACATCTTTTAGTACCTTTTTCAACCATGTTCTGACCAGAATAAGTCAACACATCTCAGTTTGACGTTTTCTCTTCTGTTATCAATTTGCTTTAAGCTGCCAATAGTATAAACCAAGTACTAACTTAAGCCCTCGTTTTAAAATAAGACGGTTTGTGTTTATACTTGCAGAGTATGTTAACGACATATATGTTTGACTTATTTATTATGTTATCGGCCAAGTGTCTCCCCCCGCCCCGCACTGTGCGTGGTACCTATTGATGATGTTTTATCTTCAGCTGATTGCGTAATAACCAGCAAACAACATAAAAATATTTATAATTTCAACATTAAGACTACGCATAAAGGCAAAGAGAAAACGAGAAATCAATTAAAAATACAGACTAGAACTTTTTTAAGTTTAGGAAACAACCTAACCTAGTGTTAAATATGGTATTCTATGGAAGTAACAAAAACCTAATACTTAAGATCAATTTTAATAAAAGAATAATAGAACAGTCTCAATATGAAACATGATTTAAATAAAACTTTTTTATTATTTATATTGTTTTATGTTCTCTAGTTTGGTGATTTTGACTTTATGTTTTTTGCACTTCAATGTATTTAAATAACATTGTTCTTTACTAAGGTCAGAGATATTTGTTTATTGTTAAATTTACCGCTATCTGTGGAGGCTTGTCATTTGCTCTTGTCAAATAGTTTGTAAGTTACTTTGTAATTCGAGCAGTTAGCCACCCTAATAAAATAAAATAAAAATAAAATAAAATAAAACAAAAACTCATGGAACTAGCTGTACTCTTATTTCATAGATGTCTGACCTCTACTAGTAGATAGTTCGGCACAGTTGGATGGTGCGTAAAATCAGTTTTCCTAATAGATCATAAGGGTAACAATAATCAAACATATCTTTGATTTTCAATATGAAACGACTAAGTTTTTTAATTGAATAAAAAAATATCAATTCTATGATGAGGTCACGACATATCTAAAACATTATATAAGTTTTGCAATGGTATCGTATAACTAGATGTAAGTACTTTAATATTATAAGGAGGAAAGATTTGATAGTTTGTTTGCATCGAATTGGCTCCGAAAGTACTGGACCGATTTTAAAAAAAAAATTTCGTCTATGGGAAGCGACATTTACCGGTGACAGACTATAATTTACGCGGTCGAAGTCGCGGGAAAATTGCTAGTTCTTATAATTAAGATCTTCTACCTATTAAATCATATTGAACTCTTATTATATGCTGCTGCTCTTATTATCTTACTATAATCACAAATGCTGGTGTACAAATACTTCTCGCTTTCAATAAGGAAATATACCTATATCGGTAACAAAGCCTAGGAGTGGTGTCTTTCCTAACAACACGACAAGCGGTAGCGGATACAACGCTTGGAGGACACGAGACGTCGCGCTCGCGTTGTTTTCATTGGTGAGATAGTTTGAGTATTCCACAGATAATATTTTGAAAAAATGATGCTTAAGGATGTATTCAGAATTAGTTTTATGATAAGTACAGTGGTGGCTCAAGATCAAAATTTAATGTGGCCCGGGGGAGCGATCACCTAACTCTAGATATAACTCTCACCATAGAATACTCCATCTTAGTAATGTTATGGCGATATTTCGTCTTATTACACGACTTTGACATGACTATTGGTGGATTAAATTGGAATATACGACTAAGTTAGTAACACTGTTGTCAAATACATAGGCATTATTCTTTATCATTCGTTTGTCGTTATCAAAGCATATCTCAAAGTAATAAAATGAAACGAAATATAGATATGGGCTAAGGAGAGAGAAAGGCACTGCCGGCATTTTGCAAGCCTCTCCAAAGTACAAGAAGACTCTTGACTTATTTTGACTGTGAGGACCACGCCTGCCTCTGAAAAAACCGCTGGGGGCTATTGGTAAAGTTGTGTTGTGGTAACACAGTGAAGATAGTATCGAACTATCGAAAATGACATCACTTATGGTAATAATGACTCATAATATTTAGATACTATAGATTACTCGGTTTTGATCTGATTTTATCCGAAACTAGTACCTAATTTGAAACACACATATGAATTGAAGACCCAAAGGCAAATCTAATAAAAAATAAGTGAATTTTGTGAAGTTTTGAGGAATAGGGCCGTTTAAAAGAATTTCTTTTTATTATTCTAAGGTTTTTTTTTTTCAATTTAATAAAAACATTGGCGAATATTAACGAAAGAAACAGCGCCTAAGATTCTGAAAAAAAAATGTAGTTCTCGTTACCTACAGAAAATCCAAATAGAAGTCTATGATTTTTCAGATTGAATAGGTATATGTGCGGAAACCTCTGCCTGCGAATTAGTCGTTCTTACAGTCAGTTGCACAAATGTTTAATGACGTCTTTAAGCTCTAAAGAATGTCAAAATTGTATGTGTAATGTCACTTTAAACGAATGAAAATTTTAATGAACTTTTGTGCAACTGTAACAGTTTTTTTTTATTGGAATGAGTCTCTGTTCTTAAAAGTGCCATTTGTTGTGATCGTTTTAAAATTATGTTAGCTGAGTTCATTTGAATTGGTTGAGTGAAGATGGAATTTTAGTTTATAACAATTATTTCAAAATATAAAGAATACCAAGAAGTTTCGAAACGTGTATGTATATGTAAAACATGTAAACAATTAGAAATTCAGTTTCTGATAATTGAATAAAAAGAGCGACGATATAAAAATGTCAAGAGTTTTAAAATTATCTTTTGCATAAATTAGAAGTCCTAGTAAATAAGGTCTTTCGTTTGATTAGCTGTAGCATTATTAGTGAAAAAAATGTGTCAGCTATTTATAAATTGCATTGAATGATATATTATTTAATTGAAGGAGACGACAAGTAGCTACTGATTGAGTGGAACACACAATTACATAAAGTTGAACCATTGCATTGATCGTGGTTGGTGGATTACAGCGGGTATGGGCACGGGTGGAACCTTCAGTATTATACATATTTTACTATAACTTAGGATGACCAAATAAGCTAAACCTTTAGTTGTCTATATAAATACGATTACTGAGGTAATCGTAATTTGTTTACAACAACAATCTTTACAGTATCTACCTACTGTAATAGTGTAAGACGAATTGTTGACCTTATTTGCAAAAGATCATAAATGTGTAATAAACAGTCAATATAATATAAAATAAATCAAAATTATATATGCATTATATACGAGGCTCTGGTTTAAAAATGCTCTGGTACACACTAATGACTGTCGGACATCCAATCTAAAACAGTAATTCACTCTTTCGTCAGCAGCGACGTAAAAGCAGCAGATTTAGCAAATCCTAGTTGGAAGTCCCGGGTCGACCACTCCTGCGGGGTGCGCCACCCGTCGCCCACCCCCCCGACTTTCACTCTTGTGCGTTAGGGATCTCAAGCTCATTCCCAACACCGAAACGACCTAAACGCCAAAGCCACTAAAACGGTACCACCCTACCGCTTTCGACTTAGATGCGATAACCGCTTACATATCATGAGGCCGGGAACATTTTTAGTCGTGCGTCTGTTCAGTTGTAAGTGACGGCACGCAATCACGCAAATATGGGGCGTGTGCCTAGGCATATAAGGGCGAAGATGGAAACGTAGTAGAAAGTGCTGCTGAAGACAACTAGAACAAATGCGATCCCTTCGTCACTGAGCAACCGGCACACGCTCTAGACATTTCGTGTTGCGTTCGTGATATCTAGAACTTATTATTTATTCTGCTACTGTCTCGTTTTCAATGTTTCACACGTGTTGGATGCTTACGTCACTGTGGCAAACAACCATTGGGCAAACGCATAACAGTTTAACAACTTTTAATAATGTTATACCTATCTAAGTAGGAATATTCATAAGATGTGGAATATTCATAGCTTATTTATATTTAATCAAATGACAGTCAACATTGCCATTGGGTATTACTGCACAAGTGGGATTATTCAGTTTTCCTAATCAGATTGATAAAGCCAACTGAAGTTGCATATCTTCACGACTTATAATAATACCTACAACTTTTATCTTTCTTTAGAATCTACAGTTAATGAATGTTTAGTAAATAAAAACACGTGTTCTTCTAACGTTTAAAGTTAAAGTCTTGTGCATTAGGTATTTAGTGTTGGAATAATAGTATTTGCAAAGTTGACCGTATTAAATTACCTAATTAAGTTTAATTAGTATAATGATACAACAGAGATATGTAGTATAATAACAATTATTCTTGTTCTCTGATAGGTAGGACACCATATATACTTAAGTAAAGGTACATGGTTCCTAAAGCACTAGTACTTTAAGTAGCTATCAAAACGAAACTTTGATGATGCTGCTGTTGGTAATGTGTTTATAAAAATAAATCTAGACAGTCCATAGCAGAGGAGGCGATCAAGTTGTTGATTGTAATAATTGATAACACTTGTGTAACATGTAGGTAACAATCTATACCAAGAACAACGCAAGAGCAGAGTAAAGACAGAGCCCGAGGTCGGGCGCGCTCGCGTCGGTCTGTGCCACGGCGTCGCTCGTCGAGACTTGAACCCTACAACCCACGCATTAAAGCCCACTTCGCGACGCGCGCTCGCTGACCTCACCACACCGCCAGCAAATAATAAATATGTAACACTGATAAAGCCGCAGAAGCGATGACCGGCAAGTATTTAGGGATTCTCGTTTGGCAAACATTACCTCGGGTCATCGTGCCCGCGACATCGGCCCGAGGCCGTCTCGTACACGGTGCCGGCACGGATGGTAGCCATCATGCTGCAGTGCAAGAATTGCGCGGTTGGCACTGCCCTGCAGAGTCAGCATCGAAAGAGGTGGCGTAAGAAACGTGAGTCACGTGTGATGTATACATACCTGAGCGAGGCGGTGTGCCGGGTGTCGTCACTCGCGCGGGGAAGCACTCGTATCGGTGGCGCGCGGCTGACTGGCAGCAGTGAACGAGCGTCGGACGCGGCAGCACTAGCAGCGGCCGCCGCCCGCGCCCCGCTACCCGCTGCATTCCGTGCGTGCGCCCGCCGTCGGGAGCGTCGCCGCCGCCGCTTCCACTGACATCAGCGCCGCCTGCCGCCTCCCCACATCTCGCACGCACGCCACTGTCACCTCCGCGTGACCCTCGCGGCCGCCTACCCACGACGACCTCGCTCCTCATCCTATCCATATAAACGAAATACCTATAACAGTTGGCTTTAACAATCGGTCCTCATGTCTCAGTCGACAGAGCCAATTACTGAATTGATAAGGTGTGATAACAAACTCGTTTGTCGATGTTGCATGAAACCTATCTGATCTGCTTAATAGCAGTTCGAGTCAATAAAAACGGCTAACAAGTTCAAGTCAAGACTAGGATGATCGATCTCTCATACTAATAATATGCTTACTACGGAAGCAGGTGTTAGCACGACCTCTCCAGTCTTCTTTAGATACATTCTTTCTACGATACGTCTCAGACATTCTTTAGATAACTTTACAGTTAAACTAAAAAAGTCACAATAATATAATTATACATCTTGAAAAGTTCGTAATTACTCTTTGTATCAAGCTAGATGCGAACCAGTAATCTGTCGCACATGAAAAGCAGAAACAGTACAAACACACATCAAAATTCTCTTAGCACATCAAAATCTTCAAGGTTGCTGGTGATACAAGTTGGTTTCAGCATAAACCGGAGAATAAACATGTAACCTTATTCCTACAAATTAGTCAATTCATCCAGATACCTACCACGGCGCAATATTCGTACGAATTGACATGATACCTGAAGGACTATATTAATTCTTTTGACTATATAAAAACAAAATATTTATGATGCAACAGAGGTAGGATCTGACCCTTTGCACAGATAATTGTCACGAATGTGTTAAAAACTATATATATATATATGTATTATATATATGTATTATATATACATATATATAACGATTCGAAATTTTCCGAATTTTTTCAAGAGTAGTATGTTTTTTCAAGAGTGTTTACAAAAAGTATGTATTTTTAGATTCGATTTTATTCTTATCGCTTTACTATTATATTCAACATCTGTTCAGATTAACTGGTAGAGAATGCGTTTGACATTAAGTCTGCCGTATGTATTATTTATCCGTATGTATTAAGTTTATATCTTAAAGACACTGCGCTAAATTTTTATCCACGCGGACGAAGTCGCGGGTAATTTATTGATATTCAACTCCTATTCCTTTCATTAAATTTTTGTATGCTGTTTTGAAGTATGATCTAATGGTATTTAAAAATCGTGTTTTATTTATTGTTACGTTATAATTCACACGAACAAAAGTTGCTTTCTGTTACCGAGACTTATGAGAAGCTTTTCTAACGTCAATATTACCCGTATCTATAGTCCAGTAAAAGTAGTGACTTAAGTAAATATTGTTAACCAATAGACGAGAATATGAATGAAATAAGAAATACAGAATTAGGTGGAAATAGTTATAGACCGTTTATACTTTATTCGGATTTCGTCAATTGATTAAAAATATCTGCTTTATAATTTTAACTTATGTAATAATAACTTCCACTCGACTATACATACGAGTGTAAATTTATGAATACTATAGTTATATCACATATTTGTTTATATATCAGATAATAACAACAAAGGGTGACGTGATGAGAGGGGTGCGGGTACTACTGGAGAGAAAATGAAACACTTTGATATCAAATATCTTCAACAACAAGTAATTCCCACTTAAACAGAGGACGTTAATAAAAAGTACAAACGACAATTTAAAAGAATAATTAAACAGACTGTAAAAAGTTATAAAAAAAAACTATGAAAAGTATAAAAAAGTCGGTCTAACTGCCGGTCAACAACATCAGAATTAATAACTATGTAACCTAGTAATATGTCGCTTTGCGATTACCCTTTGAGTAGAGAACAAAATCTTCCCATTCTGAAAGAAGCATTCAAGAGAACAGGGGGCCAATTCTACTAAATAAATTTTGTTTAAATCGAATCGAAAACGGATCGAAACCGAACGAAACTACAGTTTTTAATGGTTTTTCTATTCTACTAAGTGACATATGATACAATTCCAGCTAAAATAGAACTGGAATTGTATCGTATGTCACTTTGTAGCATAAGAAAACCATTACAGACTGTAGTTTCGTTCGGTTTTGATCCGTTTTCGATTCGATTTACACAAAATTTATTTAGTAGAATTGGCCCCCAGCTCAAAGTGTATGTAAAGTTTCATGATTAATACGACACTCATACTCATCCAGGTTTAGGTATATTTTACGCTTATATAATTATAACAATAATGTTAATATTTTGATATCTGGCATAAACATTTCCAACACCATTCAAGGTTCCGAGGCGTGAACGTATTCTTGATCGAGCATCGGATCGCGAAATCGTTCGCAGAAAATTTTTGTAAATAAGTAACTTACCCTTTTCATGAGTAAACTTGAGTAAAAGTAGCTCAAATCACATGTTTGGGCGAAATATAATACTGCTTCAGAAATGGAAGTCATCTCATTACATTTATTATACTAAATCCCCTTCGAGGAACAATCCACAAGCTTTGCTTAAACACAAAAATAGCTAAATCAACATTTCCAGGCGCTTAATACTTCATTATAGAATTGAATCAATACTGTTTTGTACACAAAAAAACCAGCCAAGTGCGTATCGGAGTCGCGCGAAGGTTTCATTTTCATTGTCCATTAAAAACGTAAAAGTGTTTATTTTATGCGATTCTTAGTACTGACAAAGTGGTCACAAATACATCATCTGTGAAGATTTCACGGCTCATGAGATACAGCTTGGTGATAGATGGATGGACAGACAGACGGACGGACAGCGAAGTCTTAATAGGGTCCCATTTTATCCTTTGGTACGGAACCCAATTTTTTTTCTTCAATAGATTTATCCCTCAAAGGCATGGTTTCCCAAATTTATTTCGTCTGTTGCCCACTTTGAAGATAAATTATTTCTACTGCTCCAATTTGTCACCTACTTAAAAGCCACTAAAACTTTAAATAAATTATTTTAATTATAAATTATTATTAAAAATAAATTAATACAGATAGACCGGTTGACAAAATTTTTATCCCATATACGTAAATAAACTACACGTTACGTTTACGTTTAAGAAATCTCTTAATTGATATTAGTTTAAGTTTACAAGTTGTAGTCGAAAATCAAGACCTCTGTACCGACAGAGCTCTTGATTCTCGAAGAATACTAGATGATAATTTTTTTAAATACAATATTTAATTACTTAAGCCTCTACACAAACTTAAGCCTCTAATTAATTACTTAAGCCTCTAATTACTCAAACTCCCCTATTTTTTTTGGTCTTTTACCGCCTCTTTTAGGCCTACAGCGCCCTCAAGGCGGCGTCTTCGCCAACTTTGGGAAATGCTGCTCTAAAGCACTACTAATCTATATTATGTACCTATTATTGGTATTGTGTGTTTCGGGATGCCTGGGGCTCAGTTTGGCGTAAAAACTATTTTTAAATAATTACTCACAAACTGTACGGTCCAATGATCTACATTTTAATTGTATTAGAGTCATCATTTTATTTCATTTCGACATTCGTTAGGTATGTAAAGTCAGTCCACATTCAACTCGCGACTCATCAATTAGTATTTACAATTAATTACGCAATAAAAGTTATTTTTAACATTTCAAGATTTATCATTCAACTTCTTATAATTTTGGTGTGTGGTCACTCAACCCATACACAAACCAATATGATTATTGCAAGTGTTGCATAGCCCTGGGCTACAAAGGGGACATGCATCAATTTTCCCTTTGAACAGTTATAAAATTTTAGTGGTAAGTGCTATTTATTTCTATAAATCACGATTTGACTAAAACAAAACCTATTAATATGATTTAGTGTTGACATTTAAGTTTGTTGCTATTTTATGCAGGGGTCACTGACAAATATCAACGGACATATATCATAATATGTATCGATTGATATGTATTAATTGATATTTATAATATTTATCGTTAATTTGAGAATTGAGTATCAAGTCTCAGCTAGAATATTAACCATCCCGATGTGTCGCTGGCAACATTGGCACGAAATTTCTTTATTTTTTTAGTTTAATGCTTTTGTTCACGTAAAAATGTTTATTATAGTGAGATGGTAATAAGTCGAGTATTCCCCTATACATTAATGGTAATCCTGACACGCACACTACTTTTTAAATATTTTATAATAAATAAACTATTAAATATAATTAACTTTCTTTATCATTCATACTTTTGATTTAAAAGATCAAATAATAAAGCCATAATTTTTTCATAGGCATGATATATATCTGATATTTATTTGAATATCGGATTTTTGCAAACCCAGATTTTATTATACAAAAAAATTTAAGATACTTCGGTCAACCTGTGCCATAGAATACTATTACTCCAAGGAGAAGAATACCATATATATAAAAGTACTCTTTGAAGAATACTAACTTCATACAAAAGTATGCACCTCAAGGATCCAATGAAAAATATGAATGAACGATGATTGTTTTATCAGATTAAAAGCAAAGGCATTAAATTAAATAATAAGTTATTTTATCCCAGACTGTTTTCAAGCGTAGGATAAAATTACTTTTACTTCAATTTTACTGTAGAAATGAAATTGTAAAGTTAAAGAGAAAAATTCAAGTATTTACATTATTGCATGAAAACCTACTTTTTGTGAATTTGTGAATATATGTTTTTTTTAATATTAAATATTTTAATGCTTTTTAACGCCAAAGACCAAAGCATTCGTCTCTAAGACCAATAAATTATTTCTTAAAAAAATATTTAAGCCAATCATACGCAGCCGTTAAAAATCAAACGCCAATCATAATCATTTATTCTCCCGCGCTGCACTCTTACCTTGTTTAAAGTTTGACATTTATCATAGTTTGGAAAGTGAGCTTTTTGCAAAAGTTTTGAGTAGTTGAATAAAATTAATTTTGATTATAAAGTGAAGTGGCTTTCCCAGAATAAGGAAAAGATAAATAAAAATGAATATTGTAATTACAACATTCAAAGATCCCTTTTCATTTTTCTGTTTATCTGAACAAAATGGAAAGGACATTGATTTTATCGAGAATTGTGTTGAACCATCAAACTTTCCCTATTCAAGCAAGATTGAAGTAGCTGATGTATGCCACGGCCAGGTGATAATTATTTTTAATGTATACCAAGTGTTTTGGTCATCAATATTTGTATCATCCACATAGAACTAATTTTTAATATCACCCTCTTAAGTCAATTTAAAAATAAAATTATTTTACTATATTCCAGTATGTTGCTGTCATGTGGAAAAATAAATGGGTCCGTGGTCTGGTCACTATGGAATCCCAGTTCCTTATATGGCTTATTGATTATGGATGTTATTTACGGCCGAATGATAAAACTGTTTACACAGAACTACCTTCAGAATTTAAGAAATTTCCAACAAAAGTTTTTGAAGCAAGCATCCATGGAGTAGCACCGGTTGATAGAGTATGTTTCTTTCAACTTCAATATTATTTTATAGACAAATTACAAAAACCAGTATTCCAAAAAATAAAATCTATACTTGGGTAATTTGTGATCATTTTTACAGCAAATGACTGATGATTGTGAAATAAAGAATGAAATTGCTACTACATGGACTGCAGGGGCTATTGAGAAAGCTCAAACATTGATTGCTAATGCTTCCAAAATCTACTTTGTACCTATTGCTTTAATGTCCACTAAAGCAAATGATATTGTTAGTATTAAACATTTTTTTAAATTTTATTCCAATACTGTTCAGTATAATCGTAAAGAAAGATATGATTATTTTCTTTTTAGGTGATTGGTGACTTATATTTAGTATTAGGTCATGAAAGGGTAGTTAACATTGTTGATGAATTGCAGCTGTGGCCAGTTTTTTTGGAGAAAAATAAGTCTGCATATATTGAAAGTAAGTTGAGCAAATTACTACTCCCATTATTGTTACATGTGCGTTGTAAGTTTATTAATTATTGAAACTTGGGTACTTATTATTTTTGCAAGGACAAAAGAAAAGTTATCTTTTTATGTCATACTTCTATGCGTAGATGGAAACTAAACTTTTATTATCATTTTGGGACTGTAGACTGAATGTGGTGTTTATTATCTGTCCAGCTATCCACAATTTTGTTACTAAACCTTTTACCTAAAATCTATGGGATATTAGATTAGTATATTTCAATCAATCACAGTTATCTAAAACTGGTTAAATTCTTTTAGTGTGGGTATATGCTTCTGTTTTTAAAGAATATAAAAGATAAGTACATTTTTGTTTGTAAAGTTCAAAATGGAATCTTAAATTTATTTTTCCGTTGTTTAAGATCTATTAAATAATTATACTAGCCGCAGAAAACATCGTGCTTGTTTGCTTAAGCCAGCTTTGCCTAATTCTGAGATACCTACAATGACATTTGATACAACCCTCGAGGAGTATGACGCCATCTGTGCTGCGGCACCGCAGTTTGAAACCGCACAAGAGTGCAGCGACGTTTCGGAAGAGGGCAGCACCGTAGTTGACTATGTTCAAAATAAAACTGAAAAGGACGTCTGCAAACTAACAGCAGCGGAAATTGAAAAATATTCGCACACTTACGTTAGTTTTGCTGGACAAAAATACAACGTCTTAAATGTGTTATGTAATAAAATAAGAGATTTAAAAATCTGTGAAAAATATAAAGACCACGATTTGAAGTCTGTAGGTCGAGCGTCATACCGCATTCCTCCACCATGGAGGACAAATTTTTATTTTGAAAACAATTTAAATTAATTATTTTATTTCGTAATAAATACGGGACCTGTCATCTTAAGTGGTAGATCATTCAGCCCTAATTTTCAGTTTTCGAAATACCGTCTTTTCGGTTAAATTCAGTTAAGTTAAATTCAAATTTGATTAAATTAAAATATTATAACGAATTATCGAAAAAAATAATTTTGACATAAATTTATACGACTTTGACTGAGTTAAGCGGTTGGATCAATCCAGCCATTATTATTTTAGGTAAACATATTTATGATTGTTGTAACAAAGTGATAGATAATTATCTAAGTGAATTCTGATTGTTGTCACATAAAGTTTTTTTTATAAGTAGTAAAGAATGTAGTTAAAAATTTAATATAAACTAGTGGGTATAATTAGGGGAAAGCTCAATTGCCGTGAAGACAACTAAAATAGTGACACATTAATTCCATGCATTCATTTTGTAAAGTAAATATAATTTCATAGGTTTAAGACCTAATATATTAGACCCATCTAGCTTATCGAGCAAGTGTATGGAAATTAATTATTCCTGTTCTAGTAATCAGTGTCTACCCGCCGCGCGTGGCTCCACGTGGCTTAATGTAACTAGCGCTTTAAGTCTAGCTATGATTAGCCACAGTTTTAATATTGTTATCATTACATATGATCTATATTTCTGTTATGACGATATACTACTATATATTTAATCAATACTTTCAAAATAGTTTTGTATAAATTCAATTTATTTTAGACATATCTTTTTTAAATAATTTTTAGTAAGTATAATTAATTAAACTATTTCGAAAACTGAAAGCAACAAAAAAAATAATTTAACATAAATAAATAATAATAAAATATCATTATAAAAATATGCTTATTAATAAAATCATTCAAACGTTCTTATTGGCTACTCATAATTAGATAAGCGTTTGTAGAACTGCAATTAAAAAGTATTCTAGTACAGTATGTCTTTGAGCGTTCCCTTTTAAAATTAGAGGTTTAGACGCCGCAACCTTATATTTAATTAAGGTTTGACATTTTTTTTGTTCATTGTTAATGTTGTCATTTTTTTTACTTACTTTTTATCTAGAGTAAAAGTCATGTAATCCATGTTCTAAGTTGAGACACTAAAAGTGCGCACCTGCGTGCCATTACATTGTTTTAATAGTTAAGAAATAAATAAAACAGTTGATTATTTTTAGTGTTTTAAATTTATTTATTTTATATACACATAGAACTTCTTCCCTTAGGTAAATATATCTAAATACGTTACATAAGTCTTAAATTACTATTTTGGACCTACCAAACATGTAACAAATACCTGAAATGGTATTGAGAAAAGGAATGTATGAGACTTGTTCATTAATTTATTCATTAGATGGTAAAGTTACCATGTCATTTTTGGAAGACAGCAGTTTGGATAACGGTGACGTCATTTACAATTGGAACTAATTACTACAGCTTGTTGAACAATGAAGGAAGGGGCAGTGTTTTTTTTTCAGAGATTTGGATAAGGAATTTATGGCAAGTTTTAAAACTAATTTGTGTTGAATAAATACTGCTTGAATGATGATTACACTTAATCTAAACAGTGTTTTGTACTAGGAATTTTAGTAATTTCACGTAACATCACATACCTCGAGCCTAAATCATACGTATTTAATACTAGCATTATGGAACGTCGTGGTTTAATAAAAAATATACAATTCTATTTATTTTGCTAACTTTCAATTATCTTGGCGAAAAGAAAAATCGAACCACAGTTATTTCTATACAATAATCTTATCTTCACGTTTTAATCGGTTAAAAGCACGAGGTTAAAAGGTATGAGCATCTCAGCCGATAAAGAAGTTGTCTCTTGCAATTTGCTCAACAATAGTGTTATTCTAATGTAAATAGGTTTGAGGAAACTGACGTCTGTTTTGAAATTAATAAAAAATGTTTAATTGGCATTCTATCTAAAAATACGTAGACAATAATTTTGAGATTCATCTATATTCTTATTTTATGAGTGAGGTGAGTATGTTTATATGGTAGCCGCATATTTTGTCTACAAGTTTATTATGTTACTGCAGTCGTGTAAAACTCGTGTTTGATAAATCTATCACAGGCGAATGCCGGGGTTAGTGCTAGCGACGTAATTGAGTAACTCCTCTGAGTCTTCGCAGACGACAGGCTTCTCGTGGTAGCAGGCCACGTCGTGCCACGCGATGCCATCATTGTATACATTGTTGAGAACACTCATGCACGATTCAGAGGTGCCGTTGATGTCGAATTCCGCGTTGTCAGGTTGACGCTGCTTCTTGTGACCGGTTTGCGACCACGGGTTGTACCCCCAGCCGTTGGGGATCTGAAAATGATTTGTCAAATGTTCAAACATAAAAATAAGGGCTATAGTTACTGTGATCCCGAGGCATACTGGCTTATTACTGTACCAAGTTTTTTTTTTACTAGAACTATATTATAATGTATAATACTCCGACAGATATTATAATATATAATAGTTTCACGAAATCTTAAAAATCTTTGTAATATGACTACGCTACGACATAATATGCTCCCTTTAAAATTATACAGAAACGTGTTATATAAAATGTAATATATATATTATTTTATTTTACAGGTATTCCCGAATTATATAGATTACAATACTATAATAAAAGACTCGTAATAGGTAATACAGCTTGTAGCTATTATTTTTCTAACATACAAAATTATTACTTCAGAAACAATACCGATTCGATGGACATTATGACAGAATGAATTCACCTTATAGTGTAAAGATTTATTAAATAGTTACATTTCATTTTCTAACCTGGTTTGTGGGCGCCATCTTTTCCCTGTTGGCAGACCAGAACCAACCAAAGATGTTCTTGGGCTCGAGATCTTTGCGGGATTCGCATCCCTTGAAATCACAAAGACGGCCAGATGTCCAGATGTAAGGTACATCATCTGAAACAACATTTAATAGTATTTTAGTAATTTCTCATGGTAACTGAAAAATTTATTGTTAAATTAGTGCTAGGGCGCCAGGTGGTCAGATGGAGACATTTTTATCTCTAGAAAAAAAAATGTTAAATTTACAATGCATTGCTAACCTTGAAAATATTTTTTCCTAAATAAATCTACTTTTGTATACTTGTTCAGATGCTCTAGTAGTACAACAAATGTTATATTACCTACCAATTTAATTAATAAACGTAAATATTAGGTATACGTTTCCTATGATATCACATATTGAACATCCTGTCTTAAGAATAACAAGCTCAAGCAATAGGTGTTAGAGTAAATCGTAGATTTTTCTCCCTAAAATTATGCAGCACCTAATTTTCTTCGCTCTGGACGAACGCCTGACTTGCCCCTTAGATCGGGCGCTGCTATTTATACTAACATAAATTTCAAAATCAAGACAAAGTAAAACTCACAACAAGATTAATTTACCAAGTCGTCGTTGTTGACGGTACATTTGTAATAATACAGCATTGATTAATTTTGTCTCCACATCACCTAAAAGTTGACTGGCACAGAATCCACAAGGAATTAGTATTAATAATGTTCATGATTAATTAAATAATATCAAAAGTTGTAAAAGGGATATATTTACTCTGTTGGATGAGCTTGAAGATCAGATTGTTCTCCTCCTGGGTCTCCATGGAGACGAGGTCCATGCAGTACTCGCGGCAAATGTTGCGGCCGTCCAGCCAGTCCACTTTCCGCTTGGCTAGCTCAGGTACATGGCCGCTGTAGAAGTAGTTGTGGCCTCTATAGAAGAACTCCTTAGGTCCTGAAGCAAAAACATATCGTTATTGTTTTAATTCAAAAATATAATTATCTATTCGGCACATATACATAATATTTACCCGGTCAACATTATTTGAGAACCTAAAAATACATATTCATTTATAAATTGAATTGCGTACAACGTGGTTAAAACAGGCATATTATTGAACAGGTAGCCCTTTATTTGAATGGCGCATTCAATGCATGGCTAGTTTTATAGATTATGACCACAGAACACAAATTTTCAGTGTTCTGTGATTATGACATTTAAAAACTCAAAGACGGCTATTATAAAAGCTAATACAAATGTTCAGTAGGACGGCTGATGAATATCTAAACTAGACTAAAGTGATAACGATTTTAATCATAAATTGACTACTGTTAAAGTTCATCTAGTACTACATTCAATTGACCCGACAGGCAATTGAATTCGGGACCTCAGAGATGGCGGCGCCTTGAAATCTGCGCGCGAGCCATGCGGCCACGGTGGTCGTCATTTTCGGAGATTTGTGCAGATTATGGAAACAAATACACTAATGAGCTTGATATAGCCAGGTCATGACGAACCAGCAAACGGTCGCGACATTGATGTCTTCAAGACGAATACACCGCGACAGTTAAAAGATGATGTCGCAAGCAATCGATATAGGTACGTATTACGTAACGTAACACTGAGACTGTAACCTTTACGTCTGTTTACCATGTAACTACTTGACTCATTATTGGCAAAACACATTATAAATCGATTTTTTAATCTTTGTAAAATTACATGTTTTATGTAAGATCCAGCATATATAAATGTCTTCAGGTGGTAACTTAATCTTTTTGAACCTCAGGTACACATGAACACTTATACCATTTTTGTTTTGTAATTTATCTACTATTGTCCCACGGGAATTAAATAAAACTCTAATCAACATAAGAATACACAAAAATGGTTGCGCTGTGATATATGTTTATGTTCAAGCAAAAAAAAAATATCACGTCACTACCTTTTATATTCTAATATTATTCTCTATCTATTATCGTTTAAAATATAGAGCTCATAGCAGAGGAAGCGATGGTTCCAAACTTAGATATGATATTTAATTATATTTTTATTTGGATTTGGATAATATCATACTATGAATTATTATTTGTTAAATCGCAAGACCTGAGTGAAAAATCCTCTCAGAGTCTTTGGCTCTTCATGCGGCTACGATACGATCGATTTTCTTTGCGTCGGTCATGTTGTGCCAACTGTGCCAAGGAACTACTGAATTTAATTTTTATAACAAATAGTCTAAGTTGATTTGAATAATGCGTTATTGTGATAGTGAAAGCGAAAATGAAAACTAATGTAGGTAAGTACTTTTTTATGTTTAAATTATTTACCTACCTGTGCAATTAAATAGTTATATTTTAGTAAATAATTAATTTTGTATTTTTATTAGTGTACTATCCAGCTTACTGTGATGCATAGCAATAGTTTATTTATAAACTGTATACTTGTTTGTAAGTTTGTTGGTCAAATCTTGCTACTGAATTTTAATCCTCAATCACTCTAACTTAGCATACTAAATGAGAGTAGGTTTATTTTGATAATACATGGTTAGTCCATTACGTCGTTTTCAATATAATATGGTGCACGATCCAAGATAAAGTTCAAATTACTTTCCTGTGCACTCCCATTACAAGGGTATCAGAAGAAAGGATTTGCTAAGAAAAATATGACAACAATAAAATGACTTCATTTTAAATCCAATATGGCTGACCACCCAAACTGTCGAACTATTTATCTTTAAACACTATCAAAATATTTAAATTACTGTATAAATAAACACAAAAGTAACGAGTAACTCATCTTTGGCATATTTAACACGATGCAAGTGTCTTGTCATTTAACTGTGTAAAGTTAACAGAATACATATTTAACCGCTACGATAAGTACTAACTACCTATTGACTTTTTGCACCCAGCAGTACCTACAAATAATAATTATAGAGAATTGCACAAATATTAGTAATGAGCCGAGATTGCGTTGTGTTAGTTAATGTTCACACGGCGGACAATCATCTGAGGCCTTGCGCGGTGACAGATTAACGAACGGATGTGCGGTTGTTTGAATTTTACTTATTACCACAAAGTTGCTCAATACTCCGAGGAATGCAGCTATGGTATTCTTTAAAACACATTGCTGGGACATTAAAGGTTGAATCAATTAAAACTTTTATTACCTTTTGAATTATATTTTATCTATTTTAACAGACCTCAGTTTTCAGGATCGTTTTAAAATTTCAATGAGGAAGTATTAAAAAAAAAACGAAGACACTAAAATAGCACCTCCACTAGATGGCGACTCTACCAAACGTTGATTTTTGCAGAAAACGAATGGACCAAAGACAATCATTACCGTTCCTTTTAACTAACATATTAAAAACTGAAATTTGAAAAGTTTTAAACTTAGATATCAATACAAATACGAAAAAGTACAAATAGAATATGACTTGTTTATTGAGTTTTGAAAACTAATTTACTTTTAAACATTAAAGAAAACGGAGAAATCAAGAACGTACCATAACGACATCTAGTTTGATTTCGGGTACTTATGTTTTTTTAAATACTTCCTCATTATAGAAAGTCAATAGTGCTTCAACTACTACCCTTTATGACTAGTTCTAGTTATCAGATCACATCAATAATTATATGTCGTCATTGATAAGCATTTCGTATTAAGAATCATTTTCAGTATGGCATTGTGAATGCAAAATTAATCAAAATATAATAATTAGAACAAAATTCTCATCTTTATCGAAAGTTTCAATATTTGTAACAATATTTCTTTCGGCTGTTTGGGTGGATGCCTGAACATTGATGAGAATACGCTCTGTAGTAGCGAAAAGTAACAAGTGCTTGAAAGATTTGTCAGTCCTGTTAGGTCCTGGATAGCTCAGCGGTTAGAGCAGTCGCCCGGATTGCGAAAAGTCGTGGGTTTGATTCTTTAAGAATAAAGTTTATCTAATGAAAGCCGTTCACATTTATTCCACGTTTAAATATTAACGTTAAAGAGTTACGTATGATGTTCGCGATACTAGTTATTTTATAATAAAAATTCTTAGTGCCTATAATAATAAATAATCTACAAGTATCTTGCATGAATGGTACATCAAAAGAGGTCGAAAGTAAAGTCAGAAGCCGATTATCACTATTGATTTATGAATTTGAGAGGCACAACACTTCGGATGAAGGCTGTATTACAAAACTCAGGTCTTATTATTTTATTGTGACTAATTTATGAGCGATCGTGAGCATTATGATCATGAATGGATGATGAGAAATCGCAACGTTTTCGGTATTCGTTATTTATCTTGGTGATGCTTATCAAAGAATACATAATACTATGGAGCACCATTGTTCCCTACATATATGTATTTTTTAAGAAAGCTTTGTTTAAATTCTTTTATTTTAATTTTAAATTTTGATAAATTTAAGTAATAATAATGAGTCATTCAGAAAACAATATGTAAATAATCAAATGAGACTATTTAAGAATGTTAACATATTCATTGATAAAATCGGTAACAGTATTTTTATAACTAGACCTAGGGTTAGCCGGCCGGGCTCACGATGTTTTTTTTTAATAGAGGCTAAAACTAGGAAGTAAAATTTATCAAAAAAGGTTTTATTATCATTTACACTTGTCTCTTACACTTGTCATGAAAAACTTGAAAAATATATCACTAGCACACCAAAATTACTTGGACGGAAGAGTGTAAAAGTCACAGTTAACTATGCTAAACTCAAAAGTTTGTCTATAGAAGAATCACTGAACTATACTGAATGTCAAACAATCGTTTTCCTAATTTGCATTTGATAATAAAATGATAATAATACCCAAACTAGGTATACAACCTTCGCAGCTGAGTGGTTCGGTTTAAGGTGTTCTATATTGTCTTTGGTCTGAGCGTTGTGGTGCATTCTTTGTTTCAGATACTCCATAATACGAGGGCTTTAGCTACTCATCTTAGAATCTGAGCAATGTATGTGATGTTGACTAATAAATTTTTTTTTTTACTTTATGATCTAATTTCGACAATTGGGCAAGGGGAGTATCTAAAAAACTATGAATTGGGCGTTTACTAGTAATAATGGAACGATCTAGTCGAAAACTATCTTATTTATAACGAGTTTGTTACTTATGGTTAGTTATGCATTTCTTGAAGGTCTTTAATCGTTATAATTTGCTTAAACTGATAGAATATCGAATGAGTTTGATAATGAATATGTCATATGACGTGTATGACGAGGCCTCAGCGCGGGCGGTCGACCGTGATCCCATAGCGGCGAAGACGTTACTTATCACAAAATTATTAATTCCAACTTAATGACAGCTATTATGCGTCCACAAAATATGCTGTAAACATGTCTCGTCGATTCAAGGTAGAGGTTTGGCGAGCTTCTTGGCTCTGCAATACTTTATAACAAAGCAATTAGACTCATTTTAGCTATAGTATCAAATGATATACCTTTTTGCTTTATTATATTGCTTATTTCAAGTATGTAGTGTAACATAATTCCACAAGTTTAAAAGTCTATATATTATTATAAGTGTCTATAAAATGTTTCTTATGCGTATCATATTAAATGATTTGGGTTTTTACTAAGCGTCAAAGGATTATTTAAAAGTGTATGATAGCATTCTTTACTATTTTATCATCAGCCCTGTTACGTCCCCTCTACAGGTACTCAGGCTTTCCTTATGGATGGTTAAGAAGGACGGGCCATGACCTTACTCTCTATAAAACGAAACCAGAAACAACAAATACATAATTGAGAAAAAAGTCTGTAGCGTAATATATAATTTGTCAATGAGTTTATAAGGATCGGCGTTTGAATCGATTATCTAAAAAAATATCTGTTTTGTTATTTCTGATATTATAATGGAAAGTGACTTCATAATCCAAGGAAGTTACTTTCCAATCTCACTCCTCAGTAATGAAACAAGGAGAAAAAGGTTTCTTCGAT